ATTGGTAGTTCTGCCTGACATTTTAGCTGTAAAATGTAATGTCATAATACTGTTCGCTTTTACTGCAATAAAATGCACATATTTGTATTCAGCAATATCCTCCATTAACAGATTTTACAGTGTTTTGGAAAGTTACAGGGTCAAATATAGCACATTCCATTTTTCCTTTTTGTTTCACATTAAAATTTGCAGATTGGTTATGTTACCTTTCAGACCGTGTGGTATTGCAAGTGGGGTATGTCCAGTCATTAGTAGCCACTTTGTCACAAACACTGGCCAAAGTTGGTGTCCATATTTGTTTTTGTGTGAAAAAAGCAAAAAAATTATATTTGGCAAGTGTTTGAGACTAAGTGGCTACTAAAAATGACTGGACATACACCATTTGCAATACCTTGGGTTGTCTACTTTTGCAAATGGTATGCAATCATGGGGGTAATTCTCATTCCTGGGCTACCATATGTCAGGATTACTGTTTGATCCAGCACGTAGAACTGTATAGCACGGATGACAAATAAGTAACGTATTACCGGTCCTTAGAATGGCCGGATTTAACGTACATAGAATAGTCAAAAATACTAGCCGAGGTCAGGGAACACAGAAAGGGACGCAGCGATGAGGAAAGCCAGGAGTCAGGATACCAGAATATAAAGAAGTCAATAAACAAAGCCAAATTCAAAAAACAGGTAGAAACAGGTAGAAAACTAATAACAGGAATGCACTCTCGGACAACCACAATGGAAACCACAACAGGGCACTGAGCAGGATGAGAACTGGGCCTAAATACCCCTCCTTTAGTTCTGATAGGCTGTAACCGGCCTTTGACCCCAAAGTCAGTTACCAGGTTTCATTTGCATAATTGCTGCTCAGCATTAACCCTTCTGTGGATTAGTTTGCTGCTCGGCACAACTTTTCCTGTGTGGACAGTAAATGTCGTTAACCACATTTCTATAAGCGGATGAATATGTGACACCAGGTTTCATTTGCATAATTGCTGCTCAGCATTAACCCTTCTGTGGATTAGGTTGCTGCTCGGCACAACTTTTCATGTGGACAGTAAATGTCATTAACCACATTTCTATAAGCGGATGAATACGTGACATTACCCCCCACCTGAAGAACGCCCACCGGGCGGCAGGACCAGGCTTGAGAGGAAATTTGGCATGAAAAGCGCGGATCTTACGGCCCGCATGCAGGTCAGGAACCGAAACCCAAGAACGATCAGCAGGACCGTAACCTTTCCAAACAACCAAGTACTGTAAAGTGCCCAGAGAAAACCTAGAATCCACGATAGAAGATGCCTCATACTCCTCCTGACCACCCACCACCACCGGAGGGGGAGGAACACAAGGAACAGTATATCTATTGCAGACAAGAGGTTTGCGTAAGGACACATGAAAAGTGTTGGGAATCCCTAAAGATGCAGGAAGAGCCAGAGAGTAAGACACTGGATTGATCCTACGAAGCACTCTATAGGGACCAAGGAATCTGGGGGCAAACTTCATGCTAGGGACCTTAAGCTTGATGTTGCGAGATGACAACCAAACCCGGTCCCCCACTTGGTACACCGGGTTGGCACTCCTACGCTTATCAGCAAAATGTTTGAAGCGTTCAGCAGCAGCCCCTAGAGCAGTTTGAACCTTAACCCAGGTATCCCGAATGGAGGCCAGACGCTCATCCAGAGCAGGAAAGGCAGTATCAGAAAATACCACAGGGAGAACCGTAGGATGCCTACCCTTATTGACAAAAAATGGACTGTGCCCAGAGGAGCCATGAACAGCATTGTTTCTAGCTAACTCGGCCCACGGGAGTAGTTGGGACCAATTGTCCTGTGTGCTATTAATAAAACAACGCAAATAAACTTCTAATGACTGGTTAGCCCTCTCAGCTGTACCATTGGTCTGTGGATGGTAGGAGGAGGAGAAGGAGAGATCAATCCCCAATTGTTTACTGAACGCCCTCCAGAACCTGGACACAAACTGAGAGCCCCTATCAGACACAATATTGTGAGGGATGCCATGCAAACTGACAATTTCACGTATGAAAATTAGGACCAATTGCCTGCACATACTCCTTTACATCTTTCCTGAGTGAATCCTACCAAAATGAACTAGTGATCGCGGCAGTGGACTTATTGATGCCCGGGTGTCCAGCAGTTATATTGTCATGGAACACTTTCATGATATTAACCCTTTCACATAGGGGAACGAACAGTTTATCACACGGTTTACCACTAGGCTCCTGAGGCTGGGCCTCCAGTATGGTGCCAAGCAGTGGAGAAGACAGTGAGAGGACAGTAGTAGCAATAATACACTCTGGTGGAATAATAGGAGATGTCACCTGTTCTGGAGCTGACTCATTATCAAATTGCCTGGACAAGGCATCAGCCATGGTATTTTTAGAACCAGTTCTATAAGTAATAAGGAAGTTAAAACGTGAAAGGAACAGTGACCATCTAGCCTGCCTGGAAGACAAACGTTTGGCATCTCCTATATATGCCAGGTTTTTGTGGTCGGTTATGATCAACAGGGGGTCCTTGGAACCCTCCAAAAGATGTCGCCACTCCTTGAGGGCAAGAATAATGGCCAACAGTTCTCTTTTGCCAATATCGTAGTTGCGCTCAGCAGGAGACATCTTTCTGGAGAAGTAGCCACAAGGATGCAATGGTGTTCCCTGGCTTTCTCTCTGAGAGAGAACAGCCCCTACCCCTGTCTCGGATGCATCAACCTCCAATATAAAAGGTTTACTGGTGTCGGGATGTTTTAGTATGTCCGCAGAGGCAAATCTTTGCTTAAGAGTCTCAAAAGCATTCACAGCCTCTTTGGACCATACCGTGCTACTAACCCCTTTGCGAGTCATATTAGTGATGGGGGCTATTACAGAAGAAAATCCCTTGATGAATCTTCTGTAATAGTTGGCAAAACCAATAAACCTTTGAATGGCTTTTAAACCAGAGGGTAATGGCCAGTGTAGTACAGCCTCTAGTTTTTTAGGATCCATTTGAAATCCCGATGCAGAGATGTTGTAACCCAAAAAGTGGGAATAGATATAATGGCTGTATGTACTATACTCTAGTGATTGATACTCCTAGCTAATTTTCTGGGATTCTGTATACCTATATACCTTTATAAACGTCTGTTATGGACCTTGTATAAAACCAGATTTGGAGTCTCTTTAGTCTTTGAGACACACATTTGTTTTGTTAATTATATACTGGGTTTAAAGCCCTGGGGTGGAGCTGGTGCCACCACGTCTGACCACTGTGTATTAATTTGTCTCACTTCATGTGAGAACTTATTATGTACACAGTTTTTTATATGCACTTTTTGTTTTCAAGTAGCTGGAGGCGCCTGGGGGCTTAAGCCGTTACAGCTTATACCGCCGCAATGGCTTTAAAGCCCATTTAAATGGGGACAGCATAGAACACCATAATGGCATTAAGGGGTTAATAGCAGCATGTCAGGATGTATGAGGATGCTTCCAAAGACCCTAGGTTGAGGTTGCCGGTCGCCAAGTGGTATGTGCGAAGTGTCAGCCTATGGCAGCTACGGGGAAGCTTACATCATGTAGATAGTGTCCGCTAGGTGTGCGAGTGTAGATTTGCCACAAGGGCAATCTTCTCCCACCCTGGGCCGGTCCAGGGGCTTTTGCCTCAGTGCCATGGACGCGGGAAGCATTTGGGCCCACACAACCAGGTACCACCTTAGCAGGGTGATGTCAGCATTATGTTCCAGGATATCACCAGTAAGGCAGCGCAGACAGCGGGAGCTGATACAGACATGTCTTGTCAGCTAGAGAGTCAGACTCCGCCCACTTGACAATTTTGTATTCACCACCAGATTTTTTACAAATCTGGAAAAAAATTGAAGGGAGAGATCAGTAGCCAAATGGATCTTAGCTATCAGATGATGATGTCTCACATATCACAGTGATCAGCAGGGTAATCCAATTTAGGTAGATAGAACTTGAGAAATGCAATTTGCATCATTTGTGAGGATTGGGGATTCAAATTGTTCCCTGCAAGAGAAAACACTCACTCACATTGGACATTGGTCAGTAGATATGACAATTGCTGCTAGACAACCATTGTGTTGGCTTCTTCAATTGCACTCTACACTACAAGATGTAGGATGTGTGCAGAACAGTGCATACCTACAAAGGAACCCTGTCACAGAGCTTTTATCATGTTAGCAGCTTCATCAGTGACCATTTTTCATTCCATACTCAGAGCCTCCTGGAGAGTACCATTGCGGTTTGGTTTCAAGGGTCTATCTTGAGAACCTCAACCAACTTTTTTCTAATAAATGTTATTTAAAATAGACCTCTGTGGGTAAACCCTAATGTATGTGTTTTTTTTTTTTATTTCCATATCTTCCCATAGAAAAAACATAATACGATTACACCAAAAACCACAAAAGTGGGTCACATACTCATGTATGTATCTATACAGCTCCTCGGATTTGATAATTGATTATTCTTGTTTTGCAGCAAGCAGGCTAACATTCAAACTGTGATATAATACAAAAATAACAAGGGTGAGAGCACTCAACAAAATAAAAACAATAAGATTATAAAATTATTTTACCCAAACTTGGTCAATCAGTCTGAAAACTAAAAAACAGAGAAAAGAGACATAGGGTAATATAGTTAAGATAATATATGTGGGTAACTATAAATGGTCTCACTCACATATATAGAGCCACTTAGAAGCTGGCTCAAACTTCAGGCTTGAAAGTACAGTGGAAAAACCGGACTTCTCCCAAGGGCTTCCAAAATTCTACAGATGATACCTTTTATTCCATTCAGGACGCCAGAAATGGAAATGGTAGTAGATAAAGATTTATTGAAAATAAACAAAATAGAGTAAAAAATGTCTCTGCAGGTAAGTCCGTTGTTGGAGTAAGTCCAAACACTTAACGCGTTTCGGCTCTCGCCTTCTTCCGAAGTGTTCCCACTGTAAAAAGCTCCGCTTTAAATACCGGCAATATTGGCGCCTTTCGGATTCAATTGCCGTCCGCTTCCTGGTGCGTCATGTACGTCATGACGTCAGCCGGCGTCCTCACGTAATGACGGCGTTCTTCTTCCGGATTCTTTTTTTCCCATCTATGGAACGCAAAGTCAAACCGTTTCCGCCGACGTCTTAACCGGAACATGCGCAAACAGTCTTTTAAAATTAATTTAAAAATTAAAAAATTAATTTTTTAGATTTGACTATTTTTATAGAAGATAATAAGATTAAAAGTAAAACGTTTTTTAAAAAAGTTGATGTAAATAGCTTTATAGACTTAAAAAGTTGTCATTTTAAGCCGTGGCTTAGCAATATACCAAAAGGCCAATTTTTAAGTATAAAACGTAATTGCACAGATAAGGAAGAATATTTTAAACAGACTGATATATTAAAAAGTAAATTTATTGAGAAAGGATATGATATTAATCAATTAGAAGATATTAAAAAAGAAATTGGAGAAAAAGATAGAGAATCTCTTCTTCAATATAAAATTAAAGATCCAGAAAAAGAAAATAAAGAAGAAAAAATTCCGTTAATTTTTAATTTTTGTTCTAATAATTATGCATTGAAAAAAATAATTAATAAACACTGGGACTTGTTAAAAGAGGATCATGAAATACTTCCATTCCTAGACCAAAAACCAAGATTTATTTTTAGAGGGGCCAGAAATTTTAAACAGATTTTAACTAGGAGTTTTTTTAGACAAAGAGAAAATTAATTCTGATAAGAATTTTTTACAGATGAGTAAAGGTTTTTATTATTGTGGCAACTGTAGGGGTTGCAATTTTAGATCTAAGAATAAGAAGAAAATTGAGAAATTCTCTTCCTTTGTGACTAAAAAAGAATACCCTATTCGTTCATTTATTACATGCCAAACCAAAGATGTGATTTATTTATTAACATGTAAATGTGGGTATCAATATATAGGTAAGACTTCACGCCCTCTAAAAATTAGGATACGAGAGCATATTTATAATATCCAAAGGAAGTTTATCAACCATAGTGTATCCAAGCATTTTTTGGATTTTCATAATGGGGACCCTCAAGGTTTTGACTTTTTGGGTATTGATAAAATTGATATCCATTGGAGAGGGGGGGATAAAGATCGCACTTTAAGCCTTGCCGAAATGAGATGGATGTTTGAGTTAGACACATTAGTCCCAAAAGGACTAAATGTTGATTTTGAAATTAATTCGTTTATTTAAATATGTCTCTTCTATGTATTTATTATTTTAATTTTTAAGATGGATTTTTTCCCTTTTTTTAGGATCTCACATATGGGTATTTATTCCTTTTATTAAAAACTGTTGTTTTTTGTTTTTTCTCCTTGATTCTCTCCTGAAAGTTTTCAATATTAATATTAATATTAGTTATAATCATTGGATTTATTTATAGTGTAATATGGTGTTTTTAAAATGAATATTGTGCTAACTTAAGATGTGTTAGTATTTTTTATATCAATTTTAGGTATTAGATTTGTATAATTGTCTTTATTATGTTTTTTAAATGATTAATTGTGTTAACTTAGCATTTGCAAGAAATTATGTCAAATTAGGATTTAAAAGACTGTTTGCGCATGTTCCGGTTAAGACGTCGGCGGAAACGGTTTGACTTTGCGTTCCATAGATGGGAAAAAAAGAATCCGGAAGAAGAACGCCGTCATTACGTGAGGACGCCGGCTGACGTCATGACGTACATGACGCACCAGGAAGCGGACGGCAATTGAATCCGAAAGGCGCCAATATTGCCGGTATTTAAAGCGGAGCTTTTTACAGTGGGAACACTTCGGAAGAAGGCGAGAGCCGAAACGCGTTAAGTGTTTGGACTTACTCCAACAACGGACTTACCTGCAGAGACATTTTTTACTCTATTTTGTTTATTTTCAATAAATCTTTATCTACTACCATTTCCATTTCTGGCGTCCTGAATGGAATAAAAGGTATCATCTGTAGAATTTTGGAAGCCCTTGGGAGAAGTCCGGTTTTTCCACTGTACTTTCAAGCCTGAAGTTTGAGCCAGCTTCTAAGTGGCTCTATATATGTGAGTGAGACCATTTATAGTTACCCACATATATTATCTTAACTATATTACCCTATGTCTCTTTTCTCTGTTTTTTAGTTTTCAGACTGATTGAACAAGTTTGGGTAAAATAATTTTATAATCTTATTGTTTTTATTTTGTTGAGTGCTCTCACCCTTGTTATTTTTGTATTATATCACTGTTTTTGATTTGTGGTGGTGTGGCCCACAAAGGTGACTGTAGCACCAATTTATTCATTTTTAGGAATTTTTTACTATATACTTTTATTGCATAACATTCAAACTAATAGTTTTATTTGCATAAATAAAAAATACTATGTTTTCAAAGTAAAAATCTATTAACCTTTTGAAATAATAAATGTTATATCTACTGTCATTGCAATCTTGAGCGTGAAGGCACTGCATCAACAAGGAATGTCTTGCTTATTTAATTTTTTCAGACCTCGCATAAACCCTGCAGTGATTAATTGAGGCCATTTCATTTTGGAATATGATCCTTAAAGATTATATCCCATATTTTCATGACCACTGCTCACATGCCATGTATCATATCAATAGACTTGATAAATGAATTCATAATATAGGTTTGGTAATGTCAGAGTTGTTCAAATAGTGCTGTCTTTTAAAATGAAAATATACCCTAATGATCCTCACCAGATAACTGTAGGGTCAGCACTGAGATATACTAGAACAGACACAGGATCTAAAATCATTTAGGAAATCTCCTCCCATTAAGTACAATGGAAAAATAAATTTGTGGTGTAAAGTGGAGTTTGTGCAATACAGATCTCTAAGGTCTCACTTTATGCAAGAAATGACCTTGACCTGTAACCATCTGCTTTGCAATTTCCCGCTATTAACAATTGATTTAAGTAAACTGCCTACCCCTCTGATTTACTCAGCATTTTTTAAATTTATTTATATTTACACAGGAATAAATCATCATATCATTCCTGTTGTAGAACTAAAAGCAAGCCTTTTCCTTTACAATAAAAACAGCAAATATGAGAACTCTGAGAATGGACAAAATCATAGGAAAGCTCAATTGCTTGCCTTTTGGTTAGTCAATGCACAGCTCTCAAAAATGTTTTTGCTCACTTGTGCCATTACAAAGAGAGCCTATACCATTTCAGACTGATCTCATCCACAAGGACAGTCCAGAACCAAAATATCGGCAAGTCCTCCCTGCACGGGAAATAATACAAACTGACAATCATGATGGCCTTCTTTGGGCCTCAACAGCGAGGTGTAGCTGATACCTCTCTAGGCACAGTGAGCTTTGGTCCACACCTGGATAACCACAATAGACTGACTCCACTAATAAAGTCAGTCCAGAACCGAAATGCCTGCAAGTTTGTTGTGCACGAGAAATACAGCTACCCTGAACAATGGTTTTGTCTTTTTTTGAGCCTATACCATTTGTATATCAGATTGATCTTATCCACAAGGGCAATCCAGAACCAAAAGGGCAGCAAATCCTCTCCACACAAGAAATAACCCAGATGATCGTTATGGCCTTCTTTGGGCCTTATCAGCTAGGTGTAGCTGATACTGCTCTAGGCACTGAGCACGGGTTCCATGTCTAGATTACCCGTTTTAATTGGGGAGAGCCACATTAATGCATTGCAACAAAAACAGAGAATATGAGAATTCACAAAAGCTTAGATAAGCTCAGTATCTTTCCCCTTAGTAAAACTCTTCTCAGGTCTCAAAATAGTTCTTGCTCACCTATACAACTGAGTGAACATATACCATTGCACATCAGACTGATCCCACCCATAAGGGCAGTCCGACCCATGAGGGCATTTTGTTATGGACTGTCCTTATGGGAGAGATCTCTCTGATATGCAAATGGTATAGATTCACTTGGTAATATCACAAGTGAGCAAAAAACCTTTTTGAGACCTGAGTAGGGACTAACCAAAGGGCAATCTATTGAGTTTCTCTTAGCTTTTGCCTGTTCTCAGAGTTCTCATATTCTCTGTTTTTGTTGCAATGTATTTGCTTGGGCTCTTCCTAAGCTTATATGTGGACCCCTGGCTTACTGAGCCTAGAGGGGCATCAACTGCACCTTGCTTACAATGCCCAAAGAAGACAAAATTATCATCTGGGTTGCTGTATCTCTCATGCAGAGAGGATTTATAGAATTTTGGTTCTGAGCTGCCCTTATAGGTGGGATCAGTCTGATATGCAAATGTTATAGATTTTCTGTGTAATGGCACAAGTGAGCAAAAACATTTTTTTAGACCTCAGCGGGGAACTAACCAAAGGCCTAACTACTGAGCTTATTTAAGCTTTTGCCCATTCTCACAGTTCTCATAGTCTTTGTTTCAATGTATTTGCTTCGGCTCTCCATAAGCTTATAGGGTAATCCAGATTTGGACCCCTGGCTTACTAAGCTTTGAGGGTTATTAACCACACCTTGCTTACAATTCCCAAAGAAGACAAAATGATCATCTGGGTTGCTGTATCTCTCATGCAGAGAGGTCTTGCTGGAATTTTGGTTCTGAGCTGCCCTTATGGGTGGGATCAGTCTGATATGCAAATGGTATAGGGTCTCTCTGTTATGGCACAACTGAGCAAAAATATTTTTGATAGCTATGTGGGAACTAACTAAAGGGAAAGCTACTGAGTTTTCCTAAGCTATTGTCTATTCTCAGAGTTCTCATATTTGCTGTTTTTGTTATAAAGGAAAAGGCTTTCCTATAGTTCTACAACAGGAATGATCTGCTGATTTCTTCCTCTTTGTAAATATAAATAAATAAACAGATGCTGAGCAAATCAGAGAAGTAGGCAGTTTATTTAAATCAATCGTTAATAGCAGGAAATGGCAGAGTAGATGGTTACAGGTCAAGGTCATGTCTTGCATAAAGTAAGCAAAAGCATTTTTAAGAGCTGAGCAGGGACAAACCGAAAGGCAAGCTACTGAGTTTTTCTAAGCTTTGTCCATTTGCAGACTTCTCATATTCTCTCTTTTTGTTGCAAACCTTTTTTTCTTTTAAACTGTCATACATCAGGCAATATTCAAACAACTTGATAAGTAAGCAGTACATATAACAACAACCACTGCAACCCAACAGCAAACTGTAAACACTTTCCTGCCCAG